CCTGCAGTTATCTACCCTTTCAAACAGTTGATTCAAATCAGAGGAAGTGTTAACTTCGGGCCACTACTACCAAATAAGTCACCTAGAATTAATTTTTAAAGATCTGAGTTGCTAGTAGAATAAACAACCTTGTCTGTCTTATATAACGTAATTTAAAAAGATGTATTTTCTTCTAGGATCTACTCAACACTGTAATTAAATGGCTAAGGGTTTCTTTTTCTCACATACGTGTTTTAAATCTTTGGGTGTCTCTGTGGTAAACAGTAAATAATGATGTGAAAAAATACAGTAACTGTACATAATAGATAACAGATAATGAATTTGATGTAGTAGTAGTCTAAATTTCAGAAATATTCATTTAGTGTTCTGACTTTGAGAAAACTGCAGCTGATGTAGAGCCTTTTATTTGTGTATTTTTATTGCTTAAAGTCCCTTCCTCCTTTTGTGTTAATTTAATTGCAGACTTGCAGTTTCATAGCAGGGTTTTAAGATGTTCCTGATGCTTCCCAGAAAGTGTTTTGTTTTTTTTTCTTTTCTTTTTTTTTTTACAAAGAATCCCAAGTAAAACGTAAGTGTTATTCTTTTCTGGGTATGTTTTGGTACAAGTACAGCGTGCTGAAGATTTTTGCAGAATGAGGAAGGTTCTACTATAAATAAACTTTAAAGGAAGTGCTTTTATTTAAAGCAAATGAATATTTTCCTCTTTTGTTTACCTTAAATTTGTGAATGTTGCGATAACCACATGTTTTGGAACTTTTTTTTTAATATACATACAAGAGTATCATCTCTATTTGTGATGTAGACATGAAGTGCAGCATATTTTCCCCCCTTATCCCCCCCTTTGGAAATCAAACAGGCTGAATGTAGTTGTATTGTTTAGTCTTGTTCCTTATCACTTAAACGAGAGGAGTGGTGTGTTATTTTCCTTTAATATGCTTTTAACTCTGAAATGTCCTCTTTTTTTTTTTTTTTTTTTTCCCCCCCTACAGAAAACTCTACGTGACTGCTTCTGTAATTGTATGTCTCCTACTTTCTGGACTGGCTGTATTTTTCTTATTTCCTCGCTCAGTCGATGTTGAATACATTGGTGTGAAGTCAGTTTATGTCAACTATGAACAGAGCAGACGTATAATATATTTAAATATTACGGTAAGACTGTCCATTGTTTGGATATTTGCAATATGTGCAATGAGAGATGCTGCTGAGACAGTTTAATATACATAGAAATTGTGGGCTAGCTGGTAGACTTAGTGCCTTAAGAAATATCAGCAGATGCAATGAGCAATTTGAAAAATGTAACTGGACTTGCTGTGACTGCTTCCTGTAGCTGTAGCTAATACAGTTGCAGTTGTAGGCTACTGCTGAGTCTCCTAATTTCATGGGAACTGTGACTTTGAAGTTCTTTTGGTTATTTTGGGAATACAGGTGGAATGTGGATACAGGGATGCCATTCAGCAACTGGTATTGTGTATCTGTCAAAACTGATTTTGAAGAAAAATTATTTCCTACTCACCTTAAAACTTTAAGAAGTTCTTTCCATACACTTTTGATGGAATTCTTTATGGCATCTTTGAATAAAACAGGTAGCTATGATAGGAAAAGTCCTGAAATAGTTAAATTTCATGGAAGGGATAACAGAATAGAATGAAGAAGTCAGTATTTGTAGGGGAAGGAAGTCATGAGTGGAGTTGTGAATGTATTGGGAAGCACAGTCTTCAGCCCCTTCTCAGGGTTACTTGCACAGGAGTGTTGGTTCCCTTCCACCTTACCCCAAGGAGACTTCAGATGACAGGAAAGTATAGTTGCATGATTTCAGATATTATTATTTCATACGTAAGTTCAAAAATTTATGCTCCTCAACATGAGAAGTTCTTAAAGTTTTTTTTTTGTTTGCTTTTTTTGCTTTTGTTATTTACAGAACACACTAAATATAACAAACAACAACTATTATTCTGTTGAAGTAGCAAACATCACAGCCCAAGTTCAGTTTTCAAAAACAGTTATTGGCAAAGCACGGCTAAACAACATCACAAACATTGGTCCTCTGGATATGAAACAGGTAAATAGCGTGAGCTTTTGTAGTTGGGTGTATGTAAATCTTCATATTTGATTCTGCTTAGTTGATATTTTTTTTCTATTGCTTTTTTTTTTTTTTTAGATTGACTATATGGTGCCCACAGTCATACAAGATGAAATGAGCTACATGTTGTAAGTATACCAGCCTCTAAATATTGCCTGTGCCTTGGTAAAAGTTATGATGGTTATAATCTTGTAAAATGAAATGTATTTCAGAGCTGAAATGTGTTTACAGAGATGGTGTGCCATTTTTTGCATTAATTTAATAGTACTGAAAAATACTTAAATGGTATTATTATTTTTTTTTGTGGTTTCGTATACTGGCTTGCTGTACGTGGCTCAGCACTTTGAATAGTATCTCTATTTCAGCTATTTTAGGCCTTGGTAATAGCATGGGCCAGCTACTTCAGTGGTGGGAACATAAATATGTTCCTATAATGCATTCACTAATAAGTTTCTCATAAATTACTGTTGTAGAGGGAAGTCTGTATTTCATTTTATACAAATTAGAGGCTAGCTTTTATTTTCAGCTCTTTAGACTGTGTGTATATGATGGTAAGCAGTGTTTATAGCCTTTATTTAAACTTCAAGCTGTTATTTGTAGTTTCTGAAAGTTTATTTGACTGATGACTCATGTATCTTGGTAACAATACTGAGTATTGGTTCTCCTGTGCTGAAATTAACCGTTTGGTTTGAACTGTTAACTGTTGAGACTTGGATGCTATGTGCAGTTGTGAATGCCAGCCCTTTTGAGTGGGAAGCTATAAGAGAACCTTATAGCCTTGAAGAGTTGGAATAAGATGGAACAGGTGTGAGACGGAGAAGTGGAGGCTAACTTCAAATAAATGTAAAGCATTGTATTTCCGTCACCTCTTAAAGATGTGTAGGTTAGTGGTTAAGTGATCCTGAATCTTGTGGATCTATTCACACTCTAAATACTTCTTTTGTGGTCTGTACTGTTGCTTTAACTTCAGTATTGCTATGAGAGTGTTGCAGCAGTTGTTGAAGCTTAATTTCAAGAGAAAGTCTATATGCTTCTGTAACTCTCTGTGTAACCGGTATGTACCAGTTACACAGAGAGTTACATACCCGTGCAGATCAGAAAATACAAGTCTGTAAAGTTTATCTTTTTAAGAAAACAATATCTGCTTTTGGAGTCTGCAAAGATCACTTTGCATAATAGAGAAGTAAATTATTGTAAAAACACATTGGAGGTTTTCTAAGTCTATGATATTTTGGGGGCAAGAATAAACCCTAGGGACTTTTTTAATAGAAATGACTGATCTTACACAGAAGGATACTGAAGCTAGAATAACAATCTTCTATGGTAAAATTTCCTGTCTGTATTTAAATCTGGTAATGTGAAGTGAAATTGTAGCAAATGATGCCAATGTGTTTTTATAGTAGAGTTCTTCACTAGGGAAGACATACTGTGATGTAGTTCTTCAGGTTAACTTCTAGCTAGCTTCTGAAAGAGAGTGGATGTTGTTTCACAAGACATTTTTGTTGGCTAGCATTTCACGTAAGCAAGTACATATGAACATACTTGTAAAAAGCAAGACTGTGTGTATGAGTAGGCCTAGACTGAGTACATGCTCATGGACAGTGTTTTTTCAACAAGTGCTTTAGTTGTCATTACTAGTGACTCTACAAGCTCTATGTATACAGATAGTAAGATTTCTGGTTGAAGCAACAATTCTTGCTTTTTAGATAACTCTGTATAAGATGTTGATGTAAATCTAACAGCTGTTTGTTTTTCTTTTTTTTTCAGTGACTTCTGTACTTTAGCATCAATCAAAGTGCATAACATAGTAGTGATGATGCAGTAAGTATGGGAATTTCCTATTTGTGGGAAGCAACTTTAAAAGCCACGTAGTCCTCACTGAAATGTTATTCAGAAATGTTTAATCCAGTTGCCTCTATATCTTAGATAAAATGACATCAATTTACATTCTAGTGTAGTATCCTCAGTTCTTTAAATGGAACTGTGGAAAGATAACTTCCGGCAGGGTCTGGTAGTATAAAAGTACTTGAGTAGCTGCAACCATTAGTACTTGTATGGGAACTGCTGAATCATGGCCTGAACCTCTGATTGATCACCTGAGGTGAGCAATGAGTCAGCTACGGGAGCACAGGTAAAGGCAATTCACCTGTGCTGTTGGAAGGGGTGGAGCCTGGCTGTGCCTCTCCTAGACCCATTTAAGAGCTGACTACCAGTGGGAAAGGATCTCTTCTGGAGATCTCTCCTCTGGAGTTTTGTAGCGAGCCCAGGATATGGGTAAGCATTCTGTCTATTCTCTTGTTGTTGTTATAACCTGCTTAGCCAAATTCTCTTGTTTATTTTATAATTATAACATCTTTATATTCGTTGATTATATAGTACTGTATCTACTCTGTGGCTGGACTGTGACATAGAGTTCCTATGATCTCACAAACTTTGTTATGAGCTTCTATTTATCAGCTGCTGTTCAAAACTTGCTGAAAATCTCATGACCTTGAGTCAGTCAAAGGCTTTTAGTTTTCTGCCAGAATCTGCTTTTTGTAGCAGATCAAATCAACAGCTGCCTGTTTTGGGTGGCTGGGAAGGGTGGTGAGTAGAACAATGTTTATGTAACTTCTGTAATCATTTTTGTTCCCCTTTCAAAACCAAGTATTAATGATTAAACTCTGGCTTTATTGTCTTTAGGAAAAAACTCTGCTTGGGACTTTTTTTGTGACAAAAAATCTGTGACTTGTGAAATTTATGATGAAAAATCTGTAGATTGTGTTAACTGGTATTATTTTTTTAACTTTTTAAAGAACTTTGTTCCTAACATGTTTTGTTCTAAAACTTCACTAAAAATCTATTAATGACTTTAGAATAGGGAACTTTATAGTCCTTTACAAAACAAGCATCTCTTCTGTTTTGTGTTTCTAAGAGTGACGGTGACAACCTCTTACTTTGGCCATTCTGAGCAAATATCCCGAGAGAAATACCAGTATGTGGACTGTGGAGGAAACACAACCTACCAGCTGGGCCAGTCAGAATATTTAAATGTACTTCAGCCTCCTCAGTAAAAGCACCTGTTCATTAGTGTGGAATGACTGCTCTTGATGCTTGCAGAAATCCTTTAAATAGGACTGGTACTTTGTAAAGGAGAGAACGTGTGCATGTTATGCAAAGGAAACATGGTGGCCTGTTCACTTTAATTGCAAGGAGGGAGAAGTTTCAAAATGTATATAAATGCACTTGTTAAATGTTGTGTTTTTCCCCTTCTGTTTGCTTTCTGTTACTGTAAACACTTCTGTCAAGTTGTGTGGTTGGAGGGAGAGGGGGAATTACAGATTCTTGAGCTGAACTGGGACCTTGCTTTTACAGTGTGGTTTATCAATTTAGAGTAATTGTGTGTATTTGTCTGTTTAGGTGAAATGTGTCACTAATGAACATTTTAGAAGAATTGATACTCATGGCTTCTAAGTTTATATTTTCAGTTCTTGATATTTGACTCTTGAAACTTGCAGTATAACTACTTAAGTAACAAGATTGCTATGAGGGACCTGGGTGTGAAACTAATATTAGTAAACCAGTGGCAATATTTCTTTGGTTGGGATTCTACTTTTTGCTATGTTTGATCAGAAGTGATATACGGTCTGTGAAAGCCAGGAAAGCTCTCATGGAGGACACTATACTTGAATGTACAACTCTTAGAATCTTATTTATATTGCCCCCTGCCATCTCTGGGATGTTATAAGGAGAATGTATGTTGCCAGGTTTAAAACAAGGTTTAATAAAAAGAAATTCTTCCTGCCAAATCATTGCTGACAAAGGAAAAATTCAAGACTGGAAAGTGAAGGAGTTAAGACTTCAACAGTGTCATTCCATTCTTTTGTTTTTCAATTAAACTTTCGAGTATGACTAGTAAGATCAGAATTGTGTAGTTAGAAACTAAGTGGAAAACTGGGCATGGGTTTGGGCAGTTAGATGTAAATCTTTAGCATTTTTATTGCTTTATTTTCTATCTAAGCTCCTTGTCAGTGCTAATACCTTGGGGTGTGTGTATTTAGTGCACAGGCTTGGAAAGCAATGCAGTAGCTACCTGAATCTCCTGAGTACTCATAGTTCACATCAGTTGTGTGGGTTAGGATAAAGCAACTCCTTCTGAAAGAATAAATGTTAACATAGAACGAAACTAATACAAAATAGTTTAATTGGTTTAGTTTGCACAATAAGAATTTCTGGGATTTCTATCAAACATGGTAATTGTAAATTTCAGGTTTGAAGTTGCTTGACTTCTGAAAACTGACTGTTCTAAGGGCAAGGTGCAAAACTTTTTAGTTAACTAGGTTGGGATTCTTTTAATTCTGAATTAGGTGAAGCTTCAAGAAAATTCTATTGATGTTGTAATGAATACTAAATCTTTGAAATGCTGTAGTTTTTATGCTGCCCATCTCCTGGAAATAAGCTATATAAAATGATTTAGCAATAAACACTATGGAAAAAAGCTACAGAGTAACAACTTGCAACCAATCATCCTTTATGCTGCAGTAATTTGGTGAAGTTATGTGTCTGTATTATTCTTCATCAGTGTTCTTCAGATGGACCTAAAGGTGGTAGTGGGGAAAAATATCAGGCAACTCTGATAGATAGATAGATTATTTTTTTTTTTTTAAGGGGGAGGAAAAAAAGTATATAAAAAAATCTCTGAATGCAGTGAGCACTTATCCTGAATGCCTATGAAAAATTTGACTATTATATTGGAACATAAACTGTCAGTTTCCTGTAGTTTCTGATAGGATTGAAAAATTGAGTTTTGGTTTAGGAGAACTTCAGTACTGGAATAATTGATTCTGATGACTAACTTTACTTACATTTTGAAAGTTATTCTTGTATCTAGGCACTTAAAAATCTCCATTATGTCTTAATCACAAGACAGACAAGTTCACAACTGGCTCTCCTGGTCTTTCTAGACTTGTAGATCAGGTTCAGTCGTGGATGATACAACATGTGCAGAAGTTGATCTGACAGTCTGAAAAGATAGAGCTGATAAGACTAGAAGGAAGCTGGCTAGAAGCAGAGAAATAACATCTAGTGTCTTATGTGATATGGAAGGATTCACTTCTGTTGGAGCATATGCGAAGAAATCTGTTTTAAACCATGTTGTATTTGAAGTCAACCAGTAAGCAGTATTTTTTCCCTCTGTGTCCAAGTATTTAAGCCTCAAGTTTGTTGTATTTATTTTTTTCTTTTTCATTCTGATGTAGAAGAAAACAGCCCTAGGCAGATATATATATTTTTTTTGTACCAGTTTAAACCAAAATTTTATTCGAAGGAGAAAAAGTAATCTAAAATAACTGGAATGGTGCGATGATGTACTTATTTGGTCACAGTAGGTAGCAGATGCTGCTTGAACGACTGTTTTTAGGGATTTTATGCTTGCTTATGTGGTATTGTGACACAACTCAGACTGACATTTAGAAGTTTGGCAGACATGCTGAGCAAAATGCGTAATTAATCTGTGAATCTCCCACTGCTTAAAATGCTCTGTTATCTACTTTAAAATAAAATGTGGTGAGTGAGATTATCCCTCCACATCCATGGAAAGAATAAAATATTATTTTTAATAACTGCTTATCACCTGGGATACCTAATGGGTATAAATTTTAACACTATTAATTTGTGGTGGGATTACTGAGTAACTAAGATTTCTTACCTGAAAGTAGAATCTGGTAGTATTGGTGAATTTTCAAATTAAGTAATTTACAGGAGCATTAAAAGCATGTTACTTTGTGCTTGCAATAACTGTCAGCATGTAATTAACCAAACAAAGTTTTGTAAACAAGCTATGGTTCAAATGAAAGACTTCTTATAACCTCATTTACTTCTATTGATTTTTGTTTTGTAACAGATGAGAGCCTTATGCTCTACTGTAGTTCAAATAGTACAACTTCTAAATTCTTTTCAGAAATTCAGATTGAAGAACCGTTGTCTTTCCTGATTTGTCTTCATCTGTGTAAGAGGTTTTCTGATGGATTAACTTATTTATTTTTCTGAAATGATGAGTATTTCACTTGTAACTTTCCCTTAATCTTAGAATATGATCAAATGCCTACACGACAACATTGTATTGTTTTATTTCAAGGAATTTATTTCTGGTATTCTGTTCACTTGAACTGTTTCTTCCTGTAGTAATTCCTTTAGCAAAACCTATTGCACTTTAAAATAAAGCTCTTCTAGTTATCTGTTGAAACAGTGGTTCAGGTACTGTAGTGCAATGGCATAATCCAAAACAAAAACCTTAATGTGTTCCATACACAATAGGCATAAAATTTCAAAATTCGAAGTTAAACTATTATGAAACACTTAAATGAGTAAGAATGTTAGCTGATTTGCTGCACTGACCCACAGAACAAAATTAGATTTAAATATGATGCTTTAAAAATGAATGAATGAAGCCACTAAAACTTGAAGATTTGTTTATCCATCTTGGTATTTAAGGGGCAATTGCTCGCTGCTTAATTTCATGTGAAAGACAAGCATTAAATATCTTATCCTGTGTAGTGTAGCTTTGAAGTTCTTAATGCACTTCTGGTTTTGCATGACCTTGATGTTAATGTTGTGGTATATTTTGCAGCCTTGTGCTGGCACAGTTAAGTACATGCCTCAGTTGACTTTGTTGCAGTTTTGTCCTTGAAGTCCTTCAAGTGAATAAATTTCTTCATAGCAGTTGCAAACATGACTAGTCTTTCTAGTGTGTGGCTAACCACAGAATTTCTGAGCTCTTGGATTGAACTGTTAGGGTCTTTAACCATCAGACTGAAATGTTGTGCCCACATGATGGAAAGGATGGTTCTTGTAGTAGTAAAAGAGAGATTTATAGACTTGAAAAAATAATTTATTTCCTTATTTCTTTGCTATTTGAGGCTTCCTTCTGGGAGGTGAGGAACTGATGGGAGGTTTAGTTGTGGTTTTGCTTTTTTTTGCCCCTTCTCTCTCCCCAGTCTGTAATGGGATATCTGTGTGTTACCATCTTATGAAATGTGTCAGGCATGAACCTTCACATCAGTGGGACTGGACAGGTAGTTAAGATACAAGTAAGACTAGCAGTAATACTCTCCTCTGAACTAAATTTTTCTATTGCTTCTAACAAAAATCCCAAACTCTAGCAATGCTTCTAGGTTTATTATTTCTGAAAGGGAAGGATGAACAAGATGAGTGCAGCCAATATAATAAAATCCAACCAAACATGTTAAAAACAATTATTTGGGTATGGCAAAAACATCTGGTATTTGTCTACTCGAGAAGCCATCTTCCTTTTCTTTTTTTAACCTTTAAAGGGAGATTCTGGTAATGAAGGAGATTGCTTTGCTGCCCCTAAGGCTTTTGTCATGCAAACCTGGTTTTCTGCCCTTGGATTGGTCTGTTAGACGGGAGCTGTTCTCTGTAAGAAATCTGTACAGTTAGAGGTAGTGTGTCCAGCCCTAAGGCACAGTGTGAGACCTGTGGTAAGGGTATCACAGTGTGGATGTGTTTTTTTGGATACTGAAACTGCTTTTGCTTTAAGTAGGGATGTTTACTGACAGACATGCAAGCATTACGGTGCCTAAGTATTTTGGGTCTAACCATGAGTGATTTATTTTTGTGTTGGTTTTTGTTTTTTCAAGTAAGTGAACTTAACCACTGTTAACATCCACTGTACAGAGTATGCGTATAATAGCTTGAACTATGTATAGAAATACTAATGAGTTATAACTATTTTTGTAACTTAAAAATTGTAAACCTGTTCTTGTAACTGTGTGGCAAACAATCTATCAACTTCAGCATGATAAATAAACACTCAAAGGGGTATTTGGGATACAGAAGACACAAGCTAGCTTAATGCAAGTTAACTGAGACAATGGATCTTATTTAGAGGTTCAAAATCTGAATTTAACTTCATTATGGATATTTGGTTCTAAATAGAATTGTTTGACTCAAAGAATGATATTAAATTTTCTATTTAAAAAAAAAAGTCTGGGTCATGAATCTTTTTTTCTTTTTTAAAACTGATTTCATATTTTTCTTCTTCCTCATCTCCTATACTTTTCTTGCAAGTTTTCATCTAGTTTCAATGGTGTCATTTCAATTTTTAAAATATTGGCATTCTATAGTGTAAAAACTCTGCAGTCTACCTTTCTTGATATTATGTTTTAATGTGTTAGGTCTGTAATAAAGTCTAGTAAAGCAAAGCAGCATATGTGAATGATTTATTGTTGTCTGACTTTGGTCTACTAAAGAAACTGACACAAAAGCTGTGGCTGTTGTGATGGGTTAACTCCAGCAGGCAGGTAAGCCCTCACCCAGTTGCTTGTTCACCTCTGCCCTTCTGGGGTGAGGGAGAGAGCCAGAAGGGCAGAACTAAGAAAATTCATGGGTTGAGATAAAGCCAGTTTAATAGGTGAAGCAAAGCAATGTCCAGAAGCAAAAGTAAATCAGGAATTTATTTTCTGTCAGCAGGCAGGTGTTCACAATGGGAAGACAAACACCATTACCCCTAATATCCCCCTTTCTTTTACTTTCACCAAGCTTTTATTGCTGAGCATGACCTTCTGGTGTGATATGGAATTTTCCTTAGTAAGGATTCAGCTGTCCTGGCTGTGTCCCTCTCAGCTTCTTTCCCTCCCCTGCAGTCTACTTCCTGGGGGGCAAGGAGGAAAGGAGTGGAGGTATTGAAAAAGGAAACCTCAGTGCTCTGTGAGCTCTGCTCAGTGTTAGCCAAAAACACTAATGTGTTATCAACAGTCTTCTAGCCACAAACCTAAAACGCATTATCATAAGGGCTGCTATGAAGAAAATTAACTTCATCCTAGCCAGATTCACTACACCTATTTACAGTGTTATTTTATGAATCATAATTGCCTAAAAGCTTTAATCTTTAACAAAGGCTTTATTTGATGCATTCATAGCATGTTCTCATGCTACAGGTAATGTTACAGATTTTTTGGAACGTGTTTTTTTAAATTTGCACTTACAGAAACCTATTTTTGTATATTTATGAAGGCTACATTGGTTTTCTGCTCTAACTGTAATGCATAATTAATAGAAGTCATGAGCTGTGGAGTTTGGGGCTGTTTTGTTTCAGTTTGTGGATTTCTTTAAAAAAAAGAAAGTTTTAGAAAGTTAACTATTTTAAACTGCAAATGAAGATGGGGGAAAAAAATAACAATCATGCTTTCTATTTTCTTTTCTATACTCATTTTTCCTTCTCAGAGTTGTCCAGTTTCCTATTCGGACAAGCCCTCTGTTGAACACTGTAAATTGGAGAATGGGAAATTTCACTGTTCCACTATGTGTGAATAAGAGCTGAAAGACCTGTGAAGAGCTGCTTCTCTCTTGTGCTACCTGTATTGCCTACCTTGTGTTACCTTTTAGCAGTGAAAAATTTGTTGGATTCCTCTCACTTTATTTTCCAGCCAGAGCTGCTAAGGAGTGTGAAGGTGAGTTCCTACCAGGTGAATTTCAAACTCTGTCTTGTCACATTCTGAGGAATGTGACCAATACACTTAGATGGGAATAGGTAAGCAAATATGAATTTGGACAAGTTTAAAGACCCAAAATTTCCTAGCGCTGTATGCTTGTCAGTGTAACTAGAGAAAGATTTGACATCTTAAAATAACCTAGTTTCAAAGATCTGACAGTGACAATTTCTGAATGATTTTGGAGGTATTTCTGGCTGGCTGTAGTTTGCTTTTCCTTTTATTTCTCAATTTCATGCAGCTTTCTATATGACCGTGAAACTGAGCACATACCTAGAAGACATTATTGTGCTAATGTGTTCACCTGAGGGAAGATTGTGTACACCAGTGATGAATGACACTAATTGCCTTCAAGTGTGAAAATGATGTCTATCTGGCAATGTAAAGAATACCAAATCACATGTTTAATTTTGCTAGAAGTCTCTTGATGTCAGATAAGGTAGAGATCCCTCTACATCTTTGTTTTGGTTTTGTTTGTTATTCTTTTTTCTTCCTCCAAGAATCCTTGCCTCTTAAGCCTGAAAGCTGAGATGACTTGCTCAGGTTTCCTGTCTAAGGGGAGCAGGTGCCACACAGTTTAATGAGCTGTCATGGGCTCTGCAGAGCTGACACAGCTCCATAATGGAGCTACTTTTTCTTGAGGCAGTCAATTTTCTTGATGCAGTCGATCACCTAATACAGCAAAACTAGAACTTGATTAAGGAGCTTCAGCATCGCTGTAATGTAACACTTTACTGACTGCAGTTGCGGGTATCTTTCCTGAGAGGTTTTCAGGAAGAAGCAATGCTTGTAGCTGCACCAGCCATATAGTTGAGGTAGAAGAATAAACATAATTTGCCTTTATTTCACACTTCCTTTGACCACCACACTACAATAATGTTGTTCTCATAGTGATCAGAAGAGTAATGTAAGAGTTGCCGTGATGTATGTTAATGTCCAGGAAAAAAAATAAGTTAAAAATCTTCTGTTTTTCATATCAAATTATTGGATGTTTATGTTCTACAGGGATATGTATTATTTCTTGAATGCTAAATATGTTTTAATTTTGTTTTTTAGGAATGTTACTGGTGGTCTGCCTGGGAATCTGTTTAAGTGATTGAATTTGCTCATTCAATTTGTGACGATATTTTTCTTTCAGTGTATTTAAACAGTGCTATTATGAGTTAAGAACTATTTCACTTCCCACAACGACAGTGATTTTGTGGTGTTTTTTTTTTTCATTGAATAGGCAAAGAAATGCTAAAATAAATCCTAGAAGTCTAAATATTGTTGTGGATTCCAGAACTTGCACCATCTGCAGCTGCTTCTTGCTGCCTCTCCTGTCCCAGGGATACGGCAGAGCTGCTATTTCTATTTTAGCCTGCTCTGTGACCCAGCAGGCCAGACTAATTTGTGCACAATTTATGGTCAGGAGAGCTCTGTGGCTTTGACGTCTCTACCATTGTGCACCAGGATCCAGCTCTTCAGTGGTGGTGTTTGTGGTGGTCATGGCTGAGGTGTTGCCTTGTGGGCTTTGGGATGGCCAGTATAATTCTTAAAAGCTCCCATTCTTTGATTTCTGTGAGGAAACGAAGCTGATGTATGGACATACCCACTGTCCTGCTCCGATTTAAAATGAAAGCTGGGTTTTTCAAACGCAAGAGGGATTCTATTTCTGTCTCAAAAGAGCAGCAGAAATATTGAATACAACTCAGTTACTTTGTAACCTTGATGAGAGCAGCAAAATTAGGAGCTGAAAGGTAGGGATGGTGGAGGAGTACTTAGGGTCCTATCCCAAAGTGCAGAACCTCCTGTTCCCCCTTCTCACCTCCCCCACTATTATTGCCGATTTATTAATATACATAATTGATGGCTGGCAACCAATCTTCCACTCTTCAGGGGATTCATGCTCTTTGTAAATTGGAAGCGTGCTGCGCTGCTGC